ACGGCGGGCTGAGACCCAAGAGATGGACAGAGATTGAGGTGGCATCTTTGTTTACTCACTGTTCCATGCGTTGTGACCGGGCTTTCTCCAGATATCAGTTCCGGGATTCGCCTCAACGGTGAATGGCGTTGTATTGTCCACAGATGTCATATTGTGTAGAAGCAGAATACATGTAATTTGTGTTGTTTGGGTGAATGTGAGTGCAGGTGTGCCTGGGGTTGAGTGAGATGGCCGTTATTTATTTGTTAATTGTCATGGGTTGCATCGGTTCCTTATTAAGCATAAGCCCCTTGCATCATTTCCCTCTGGGTCATGGGTGGCCTAGATTAGCCCCGCGCGGGGCGTGAGCTGATCTTGTTCTCGGTCAGCCCTACTGAACCCAGTCCAAGTTACGGGTAGCTCCTTCATCAGACACTAGCTAGCCTCAATGAGGTCGAATGAGGGACGATCCGTAGCATCCTGGTCGTGGAATTCTTGACCTGAAGAGCTCAATCAACTTCTTGTTCTATTCTAATCTACCAATGTATCTTTGTGCGTAAAGTAGGGACGGTATTCGATTCAATGTGAGGTGCCTTGACTGACTGTCTTAACATGAAATGCAGGAGAAACTCTAGAAAGAAGAAAGAAATACGAAACTAGAGAGAGACTGGTATAACCACAGAACGCAATTTTGGATCGTCCATCATGCTCAAATCTGCCCTTTCGATCTCATCTCGTCAAAAACACTCTCTACGACACGCTTGGCGCGGTATACAATCTCCTCCACATCCGTGGGGGTAACAGTAAAGGGCGGGGCAAGAAGGAAGTGGTCCCCGTTCCAACCATCGGCGCAGCCCGTGGAGGAAAAGAGGCACACATCGTATCCCTTCTCAAGTCCACGAAGACGCATACGACGCGCAAGGTTCAACGAAGGGTCTAGAGGCGCCTTCGTAGTCTTGTCTGCCACGAACTCAATACACCAAAACATGCCGCGGCCACGCACATCGCCGACGTGGGGGTGGTCCTTGAAAGCCTGGCGAAGGAGGTGCCCAAAAAGGATGCCCATGAGACGCGCGTTGCGAACAAGGTGCTTCTCCTTGATAATGCGCTGCACCTCGATAGCAGCGACAACGTTGAGCGGGTGGCATTGGTACGTTTGTCCGTGTTGGAAAGAGGCGCTGCCCTGCTTGAGGCCCTCGATGACGCGTTCGTGAATGAGGATAGCGGAGATTGTGCCATATCCAGCTGCGAGGCCCTTGCCCACGGCCTGGATGTCAGGAACGACATTGTCATGTTGCCAGGCGTGCATGTAGCCGGTTCGCCCGAGACCGCACATGACCTCGTCGAAGATGATAAGAGCACCATGACGATGGCAGACATCTTTCATGGCTTGCAAATATCCGGGCAAAGCTGTAACACAGCCAAGAGCCTGGGATAGTCAGCAAGAGAACTAGATAGAAGCCGACAAGGCTGAGTATAGCTTACAGTGCCAACCATCGGCTCGATGATGAAGGCGCACACATTGTCCGGGCCTAATCTCTGGAACTCGGCCTCCAGTTCAAGAGCAAGTCGTTCTACGTACTCCTCGACTGATTCGCCACTCTCTAGCTCTCTGTAGGGATGGCAAGGAGAGACATGAGAAACATTGTCGGCCAGGACGTCCATGAAAGGCTCTTTACGGGCCTTCAAGTCGCCAACGGCCAAAGTGCCCAGAGTACAACCGTGCCAGGAGCTCTCTCTGGCGATGAATTTTGTACGAGGAGCTTTGGAATCTTTCTCAAGGAAGTATTGCCGAGCAAGCTTCATAGCTCCCTCCACGGCCTCAGAGCCTGCCAGAAGCATTAGCTGCCAATCTTATGAATTGTGTCAAAGTCTTGTTCTTACCAGATCCTAGGAGGCACGCTCGCGACAACTGGCCATTGGTAGATTTGACCAGAATGTCGGCAAGCTCATGAGAAGGATCATTCTGGAAATAGCCTGGGTGAGCATAGGTGAACTTGTTGAGCTGCTTGATGATGGCGCTCTTGACTCGATCATTTCCATGGCCGATGGCCGAAACTGCTGCTCCACCAGTGGAGTCGAGAATCTTTTGTCCATTCTTCAGCGTGAAGTAGAGTCCATCGGCTGATTCAACCGTTGGAGCTGACGAGGGGTAAACGCTCTGGTAGAAGAGCGAGTTCTCAGCGGGAACAAGATCATCAACGACCGCGAGGGAACCCATGATAAATTCTGGGGATATGGTAGTTAGTTGAGATGAAATTGGTACGTTTAGAGATGAAAGATTGTAATGTCTGGGTCAGAGAGAGAACCAAAATACTTGCTTCGAGATTGCGACTCCTTGTGAACTAAATAGTCCGAGTTGAGCCCTTGGGACGATGTAATCAGAGTAGCTCCGGTCCCCTTCGGTATCTAAACATGTGCACTGATCCCTCGAGCCCCGAGCTCGCTTCGAGCTGTATGTGATTCAAATGGCATGGGAGGCTCCATTTTCCATGAAACTTCACACTGCATTTTAGGCAGCTACCTACATCCAATCATGTTCCACTAGCCATCTAAAGACATAGGTGGTACTTTGGTGATGACCCTCTGATGTTTACAGAAGTTCTCCTCGTTTGATAATCACGAGAATCAGAAGTCAATGTGTCATTTCATGAATGCCTCGACTCTAACTCTCATGTCTCAAGTAGGCTGTCACCGCTGTTGACTAGTTGCTTATGGCCTATACGAGCTTGTGTAACAATCCAAACACGGATACTCTTGGCAGGTTTCTTCAATCCCGCTGGTAGGACTCAACAAACTTATGTGAAGCAATATCTGACCTTAAGCACCAATGTGAGATGACCCAGTAAATACATAGACCTAACTCCCCACTATTGATGCCAATGCAAATGAGGCGTACATTGAAATTCTCTCCTGAAATTTGTCACGAATTACCCTCAATCTCTCAACCTCGTAAGCTTTGAAAACAGGTGAGAAAGCGGCGAATCTCCGTAAGCCATCCTACGGTACCATTTAGGAAGGCGGGATAAGTATAGTGCTGACGCATTGGACACACGCCCAATACTTATCTCACAAGTAGGAAGCCCTGTTCGGAGACTTTTGATTCAAGATCCACTAGAGGGTTAAAAATCACGGTCGAAGTAGATGGGGCGTGTTACTTGAGTAGCGTTGAGGTATGAGGTGGGTAACACATGTAGTGGCGACGTTAGTATCACCTGGCAAGGCAGTGTAGTGGATCAAATGTCTGGGATAAGATAGCCGCATGTACTTCTCAAGTCCAAAAGAAGTGTACACCGAAAAGCATGGTAGTAATTGTAGAAGGCTGGGGCTATTATAGCTGCCTTGCGTACGGCTCACCTAACTTCGCAATGGCATTCCACCGTGGTAAGTAAGGAGCCACCAATGACGCGAATTTCGGGCACATCCAAGTGCACGATGGTCCCGGGTTCCCCGGTGTGATCCTTCCATCCCACCCCCACGGGGATGGGACTCCGGCGTTAAGGGTGGTCCTTGATGACAGACCAGCTCCTATCCAGGGTCCACACTTATACGCACTGTACCTGAAACTGATAGTAGGCACGCAGGCTAGACTTAACGTGAAGGATCGAAGTCGTTAAGGATTCACGTTCGTGCAAGGAGCGGCTCAATTTCTTAGCGCGCCGTCGAAAGATAGGTCCCTGGAGGCTCTGCATCTGTATTCCATTCAGGAATACTACATTGCCATCCGGATACGACCCTCCTTCGGGTAATGAATACATGCAAGGTTACCGTGGATCTCATAGGTCCCCCCTTCACAAAAGATCCTGCTCAAGTACCACATCTGCCTCGAAAGCTTATCATATTCGTTACCTTATAACTGGGACCGGTTTGCTTTTACCTATTTAGGTAAACTTGTTGACTTTGTCTTCATAGAAGCAACTCCACAGAAACCCCTTTTGTATGCCTTCTCAGCTGATCCAATTCGAGGTCACTTCGAGTCCCTCTCGGTGGACGACGCCTCTCGAACCTAACTCGTGCTGAGCAGTCACATCTGGCCCCTGTCATATCATATTTTCGCTGACAAAGCTTCGTCATCACCATCTGAATTGGGTGGTAACACAGCTAAGAAGATTCTTCATTGCTGTTGTTGGTGCCTAGCCACGTTTCCCACGTCTCGTTTCTCATTCATCTTCTCTCAATCTCGTCTGCAAAACTCCTCATACACTCTTTCAGTACTTCCTGTTTCGTTATTCTCTCAACAAGTTTTATTAGAGACTTCTACAGGGTCATGGCCAGCATAATTGCGACCGCAGCTGCACCAGTTAGTGCACCGGCTGAGATACAGCTTGTGGCGAGCTTTTCTCAGCACGATGAAGAAAAGGCCAGTCGGGCAGCGACGAATGGGGAGCATGGTACTATTAATGACAACCCATCTACCGATTCTGATGATGTTCAGGCTCTGCAAAGATGGAACTCACCCCCTATCAACACGTATCGAACTGCTGCAACGTTCTGGTCATTTGTAGTAGTGGGAATGAACGACGGCTCTTATGGTGTAAGTCCGAGCCTTCAAATATGAACCCCCAGACTTTGTAAAGATCAACTTACTTACAAATCAGGCTTTGGTCCCTCTGGTGATTAAAACAATCTAACTCTTCGCTCAGTACAGCAATCTCACTCACAATTGCTTTAGCTGGAAACTTACTATCGTTTGAACCATACCGTGGTTTCCTTGATCTTTCTTTCCCCCTTTGTGGGATACGCCTTTGCGTCTGCAGTGAACAACCTCATGCATGTTCACTTTGGCCAGAGAGGTGTAGCATGTATTGCGCCCTTGTGCCATGCAATTCCGTATCTAACTTTCTCGTTTCATCCGCCCTATCCTGTTCTTGTAAGTCAATGGATTTCTACAACTACTAGTTGGCCAGCTAATGATTGGACTTTACATTTAGGTTGCCCTGTTTGTCCTAGTAGGCGTGGGAAATGGGTTAGCAGACGCTGCTTGGTGTTCCTTCATAGGGCAAATGGCGAACTCGCATGAAATGTCCGGCATCTTGCAAGCCTGCTACGCTCTTGGAGCCACCATAGCTCCCCTCATAGCTACTGCTCTCTCTGGGGAGGGCCAGCCAGGCTGGTTTGCGTTCTACTATGTCATGACTGCGGCCTCGGTAGTTGAACTGGTCACTTTATCTACTACGTTCTGGACTCAGACAGGCGCTGTGTACCTGGACGAGAATCCCACCGAGTCTGGAGGCAAGTCAGGTCGGACCCGCCAAGCGTTGAAGAATAAACTATCGTGGGTCTTTGCATTCTTTGTCTTCGGGTACTGCGGTGCTGAAGGTTAGTGCTCTGCTATTGCTCTCCCCGAGCCATCTCATATCCCTTGGTTGTCAACATTAAGGATAGCTGACCAAAACTTCTGAACTTTGTAGTTGCACTCGGTGGATGGATAGTTGTCTTCATGACTCGCATCCGCGGCGCCACCTCGGTCACTGGCGGAGCTGTAGCAACCGGCTTCTGGGGCGGTATGACGGTCGGCCGTCTCTTTCTGTCTTTGTTGACTGTTCGCCTTGGAGAATTTTGGGCCATGTTCCTTTATCTCGGTGTGACTATTGGACTCGAACTCATCTTCTGGCTGGTGCCGAACCTGGTTGTGAGCGCAGTGGCAGCAGCACTGATTGGTGTGGCTATGGGTGAGTTACTATTTAATGGTTCCAGGACCATCTACTAAACAAGAAGACTGTGGACTGACTATGATGTTGTAGGTCCAATGTATCCGGTGGCAGTGGTTCTCATCACCAAAGTCATGCCTCGCTCACTTCATGTCGGCACCATTGGGTTCGCCGCCGCTTTCGGTGGATCAGGCGGAGCCATCTTGCCATTTGCTGTGGGCGCTATTGCACAGGCCAAAGGCGTGCAAACGCTTCAGCCAATCGTGCTTGCAATTTGTGTTGTTCTCGGCCTTTTGTGGTTATTGCTTCCTCGTCAGCCAAGACAAAACAAGGAAACAAGCGGAGAAGAGAGTTCAGGCCCTGCGTACGACAACTAGGAGAGCCGGTATCCACAGATAGGCGCACAACCTTATTTGGAACTTCACACATACCTAGTCTTCATCACCAGAAATGGAGAATCAAATTCAAATCAGGAAGGTGCACATTTGTACAAAACTTAGCTACTTTCGAATCTGAAGGGCATGTAGAAAATGGATAACGATGGATATACAGTCACTCCTCCACTTTGACACTCATAATCTAGTTGAGAGTGCACATTTGCAGTACTTACCCTCAAGGTACCGTTTTACTTATTCGTTGGCATCGGATCCCTTCTCTTGTTGCAGTTGCCGTAACTGCCTTGATTATCTATCGACTTGTCGTCATGTTTCCTTCGAGATATGACGCCAAATTACCCGCTCGAAATCGGTCTCTCTTATCGAGCAGTGGATGGCTTATTTCTCGGCAGCAACAGCTTCGTTGTCATATGTCACAAATCAAAAATGGTTGAGAAATTAAAGTTGCGGAACGCCATGCCTGGTGTTCGATTTAACAATGGAATTAGCATGTTGGATCCATGGCACGCTGACAGATTCCCTTATGGCCGTTTATTTATCTCCGGAAACTTCTTGTCTTTTCACATCAGATAGAGTTGTCTAGATGCTTGTTACATCAACTCACTCTCTACACGACGTAACAGATTGGAAAGTTCTGCCCAGTTGCTCATAATCAACTTGCATCCGGCCTTCTCCAGCACCCCTCTCAGTACATCCGCTTCGTCAACATTCTCGCAAGCACCGGTGTACCCAATCGTGATGATACCTGCCCGATTCGCAGAAGTTGCGCCGGAACGACTGTCCTCAACCGCAACACACTCGCCTGAAACCTTCCCCATAACCTCGAGAGCGTGAAGGTACACGGCTGGGTCGGGCTTGGACGTAGGGACAGGAAGCGAGTCAGCAGCGCTGAAGACGTCATCGAAATGGAAGAATTTGGCCTGTCCGGTCTTCTCCAGCGACGCACGCACACGACCCAGTGCTGACGAGGACACGACTGCAAGTCGATGACTACCAGCAGCTGCCAGTCGTTCCAGCTCAGCATTGGCTCCCTCACATGGCTGGAGTTTCTCCACAAGCTTGGAGATGACACGGTCGTCTTCCATGCGGGCGTAATTCACCAACTCAGAATCGGAGATATTGCATGAGACTCCATATTTGACCTCCAGCGAGCGCATCTACAGACCCCGTTACCCAAGCTCCAAATCTAGGGAAAGGATTCTGATTTACCATGGCTGGAAAGCTCTGCCCGACGAATTCGCGCTGTAGCTGGTGGCCTGTAAAGTTTAGATTGACATTGCGAGCAGCCAGAATCTCGTTGGTGAGATCAGCGCATGCCTCAAATGCCAAAGTCTCGGACTGGACGAGGGTGTTATCGCAGTCAAGGAGCAGAGTGGTGATCTTCTAATGATATCTATGAGAGCTGGCAACAAAACGAACGCCGAAAAGAACTTACACGTAGGTTTGTGTTGCGAGATCCCATTTTTGCAAGATTTTGATAATGTCGTTCGGCACGATATGTTTTGCTACTCGGCGTGACCTTGATGAAGATTGGGAATGAAAAACTTCTCGAATATCCTGTGTTGTCTGCAATCGCTCTGTAAATAATACCGACTTCGTGGCATACTTCATGTAACGTAACTGATCTTTCCTCAACAAGATGTATTTTTCTAGGCCCCAACCAGACGGTCTCGGTGAGATCCAGTCCACCCAAGATGCCCTAATCTGACAAGGTGACTATGCTGACATTACCAAGGCTTTCAGTGTACGAACCTCACGTTCCGATTTGGCCCCCGCCGCGATGAAGCCGAGAGAAACGCGAGGCTGCTCCACTTGTCTCCGTCATCACCAATCCGTCACATCTCGGGCTGACACGGACTTTAGCGCATCACGTCGTCTTCGCCACATCTACAAATGACGTCGGACATTTACAGCTTCCTTTTTGGCGTTCTTGTTCATCTCAAAGACTGTGAGATAACTACCTCATAGTGACTTGGGATATACATCTCACTGATGTAGAGAGAATAATAAGATCATAGACTCACCCTGCCCTCATACCTTGCGCAAGTTCAATTATGCTTAGTAGTCCCTCTATGTACCTTATGATAAGTGATAGAGTTTAAACCGAGATCGGGTATACAAGTCTTAAAGTTGACTAGTAGGATGCATCATGCTTTGTCCAATCGGGGTCGTGCCCAACATGAATGTGGAAGCGAAGAATCTGAATAGAATGCGTTCTTGTTCATGCCTTGTTGCGTGCAGGCATCATAGGATCACGAACCTAGCTTCTGTAAGGGAATCAACTGGGTCGAATCAGAAGCGGTCTAAGATGCACACGCTGCGGGGTTTTTGCGAGGTGATTTCCACCTGGGTGAATTTCCACAAGACTTCTGCTCCACTCGGCTAGGCAGGCTGCCCTTCTAGCTACAGGATGTCATCCTTGCCATCCTTTAGCCCGCCCTGCTGCGTAGCACAGGAGCTTGGTATGTGATTGGTTCCAGGTGCTGACATTCGACGTGCTGGTCAGATAATGAGAATCTTTGCGGCACTAAATGGACTTTGGACGCGGCTTTTAGAACCATGAGGCCATGGAACAACACGATTATTGTCATCTCTCTCCGCAATCGGTAAATATCAGAACATCAGGGGACTTGAAATGCAGGTTCAGAATTGCGCTGCCCATTCTGGTAGTCTGCATAGAGCGGCTGACCGAGATAGGTCAGATTAGTCACTGAAGATACTTCCATCTTCTCGTCAAGGCAGGGGGGTTGGTATCAAACGGGAAGGATCTTATATTCGGTGTCCCCGAATTTCGGGCTGATACACTCAGCACAGCTTCGCTGCGCCTCTCATGAGAGATGGGTCAATCGACAACTGCCTTGGGGGGTGGAATTAGGACCATGATGAATTTTTGTCACTTACTGGGCCGATATTCTTCTCCTCATGAACCCTATCTCTGCTGTCAGATGCTAAGGATGTCGGCATTAAGTCGCCCTCAACAAGATGGCGAGCACCCCATGCAAATAGTTGAGTGGGTAAGGTACGATTGTATTGCTGACCGAAGATGACAAGTCCTTCAATGGTACAAGTCGGGTTTCGAAGACAGTGTTCGATGCACGGAGGAGGCTTTCTATTCTTCTGATACTGTGATACATGCTTCTGAGTACTAATCCATTGTACATTGCGCAAGAGTGGATGCCCGGAGTTTCCTTGCTTGATCACTGCCAAAAGCAGGCTCTGCACAATTCATGTACTCCTGAATCAGCGTGGCTTCAAATCCCTTGTTTACTTCCGAAAGAAGGTGGAAGAGTCGGAAGATGATGACACATGAGAAGGAGGGCAGGAAGATTTAGTCAAGACTCCAGGCGAAAATGAAGCCTGAGGTGCTGAAAGATAAAATCTCTATAAGATGTCACTATCTCAATGCTTGAATATGCCAACTGAAAACTACAAGCTCAAAAGACCACTCTTCTCATAGACCTGTCCACTCACTCTCATCTGTCATTTCTTCGGAATGCGGTATCTTCATCGTTTGGTGGCTTTCGGGTCTGTTGTTCAGCTGTCTTTGGCCCTAAATGCGGCCCAACACAACGGATCTGCTCTTGCTCTCGAATATGACTTCATTGTTGTCGGTGGTATGTAAGGTCTTCCCAAATCATCCATCAATATTGAGACTGAATCTGAGCTGAAGGCGGAACGACTGGTCTTATTCTTGCGGATCGTCTGAGCGAGTCTGGCAATCAACGAGTACTGGTCCTGGAAGCTGGGCCCGACCCTCATGTCGTCGCTATGCATGAGGCACCCGGTGCTGTTGAGTACATCGCGGGTACGTTCCAATTTTATTTCCATCTCCATCCAGGACTCGTATGCTCACAACCTACCCAGGCACTGCGATTGATTGGAACTTTTACACCGAACCTCAGGAGTATCTTGGGGGGCGGAAGCTTGCCTACCATCGTAAGTTCGAAGGTCCTTCGCAATAATATAGTATCAACTCCTCACCTCCTAGGTGGCCGTGGTCTTGGTGGTAGCAGCATTCTCAATGGCTTGTACTATGGCCGTGGTTCGGCCAATGTCTATGATCATTGGGTTGAACTTGGAAACCCTGGATGGAGTTGGGAAGAGGTGTTCCCTGAGTTCATAAAGGTTTGTTCAAAACAGAGTATGGGCTCAAATGATCTCTTTTCGCTAACTTAGCTTGTAGGCTACTCACTTCAACCCGCCAAACAACGGAACTGGGTACAACCAACGTTACCAAACCTGGGACCCTGCAGCCTACTCCGATGGTCCATTAGAGATTGGTTTTCAGGGGTTTGTTCCGCCTTCGAGTGTTGCTTTCATCGAGGCGTGCGAAGCCGTCAACATTCCAATTGTTGCGGACTTGAACACTGGCAAGAATGTGGGCGTCAAGCAAGGCTCTGCTACCATTAACTCCAAGTACCGACGTAGCTCAGCTTATGACTACTACAAAGCCATTGCTAACCGCCCAAACTTACTGATTCTCCATAACTCACCTGTTCAGTCCATTACTTTTGCAAGGAATGCTACTGGAAGTCCGGTAGCAACCGGTGTTGTTTTTATCGACCACTCTCTTGGACGCCACCATGTCATTTCAGCCTCCAAGGAAGTCATCGTGACTTTGGGCACCTTCCAGTCTCCTCAGATGTTGATGGTTTCGGTAAGATAAGTTTCCTGGATGATGCTCTACTGGTCGCGCTTTTGGCTAATGTTGATGAAGGGAATTGGACCAAAAGACACACTGGAGACCTTTGACATAGAGCCAGTAGTAATCAACGAAAACGTTGGCCAACAGTAAGACTCAAACAAGTCCCTCAGATCAGTGCCATGTTATCTGACAACTTGCAGCATGATGGATCACAACGTTTACAGCATCTCGGCCACCGTAGTTCCCGAAGCCTCCACCCATTACCTCATGTTTAACACCACCAACGTTCAAGCCTCGCAAGATGAGTACTACTCAACTGATAAGGGCGTCTACACGGCCCCTGGAGGCATCACGAACGGCTTCCAGGAGTTGTCCAGTGAGCAGCTTGAGTTAATTGGCGCCGGTGCGGTGGTCGAGGAGGGCCTCACCAACCGCTCAACTGTGGAATTTCTCTTTGAGTCTTTTTTCTACCCCAACAGCCCAGGCCCGACGTACGAACCTTCACCGGATGGGTCGTACATCTCTATCACAGTATCGAGCATGGTCGCGTTATCCAGGGGTAACATAACCATTCAGTCAAGCGGCATGTCGGATGCTCCCGTCATCAATCCCAACGCAAGTGTCCCTCCTTCACGCAGCCTCGCAACTAGCTGCCTGCAGATACCTTGCCTCGTCTTTGACCTACGATGATGGCTAACCATTCATTAGTATTACTCACATCCCGCCGATCGCGCCATAGCGGTGAATGCCTTCCGCGACGCGAGGAAGATTCTTGCCCACGCGTCCTTCGCCAACATGACCGTCGGGCCGGACCACGGCGAAGTGGCGCCGGGCGTTGCGAACATCGCTTCTGACGACGATGATGCCATCTTTGAGTACGTCAAAGCGACCACGGTCCCTAATTGGCACGCTAGTGGCACGAACCGCATGCTGCCTTTGGAGGACGGCGGCGTCGTTGACCCGCGTCTGCGCGTCTATGGCGTTCAGGGTCTGCGGATTGTTGACAGCAGCATCATGCCCACTGTTCCAGACGTCAACATCGCGGGACCGGTTTACATGCTAGGCGAGAATGGGGCAAGACTGATTCGGGAAGATTGGGGCTTTTGATCCACATTCTCAATCAGTCCGGATGTACGGATATTCATGTGAAGTAGATTCCATGGTGTCAAGATAGATATCATCCCGCGTCGCGATTGATTTGATAATCTATCTTTGTATGATTCAACCAGACAATCTCTCCTGTCGGCTGAATTCGTGCAAGCAAAGTAGTCTCTTAAGGTGATCTTCTGCTTGAGTCTCTGCAGTCTTAACGGATAGTGGGCAAGTTGGAGTCCCTACGTTACCCTTGTCCGTTTCATGGGCTAGCCCTGCGTCCAGATTCGGGGTGCACCCCTACGAATACTGAAACTCCTGGCTATGTAAAGCTCTCTTGGCGGAGCTACAGACCCTCACGGTCATCTCCGACTCATTCTACTTCAACAATTCCTTTGGTTCGGTTGAGGCCAGCCGTCAGCGCCGTGGTAGGGCGAGAACTTCAACCTGCCGTCTCAAACATTTGACATCAGCTAGATAGCAAGTTTCCGTAGGTTAAAAACGGATGCGATAGTAACCTTTGGTTATTGAGAGGTTCATCAATGTTTTATAACAGGAGTCTTGATTGCTAAGAAGTTAGGCAAAAGGCCCTCCCGAGTCCCAGCGTGAATTTGAGCGTACCTTGGTGGAGCCTAAGGTTGTGTTGGGCCTTTCTTTTCGCCCGCCGGCAAGACAAATCAACAATTGACGAGGATGACTTTCATGCACGGTCATTTCCATTGCCAATTGAAAAACAACAAACAGTGTCGCTTGGAGATCCAGGAAAGAATTAGCATTCTTAATTGCTTGTACCTCTAGATTTGTCCAGGGCAACAAGAACACTTCCAAGCTAGGAAAAGCAGGCTCGGACGTTTTGGTTGTCCGAATGTGTCAATGCTCCTCGCGCAGCAGGATATACCTTGTACAGGGCTTTAAGGCTGAACTACCAATTACGTGCCCAAGTATCTACATTGAAGTCAAGGACCTTCCTCCGTATCCTACCGATTTCCACAGAGTTTCGCACTTCGTCCCATGATGCTATATGTAGGATTCCACTCAACCACGTGGACCACTGTCGCGAGTCTGCAACAATGTCACGTCAACGTCACAATTCATCCGGTAACTCTAGGTCCCAAGGCTAGGATAGGAAATTCCAAAGCCGTGGTGTTTGACCCTTCTCTTCTTCTCAAGTTCCAGTCATCACTCGGATCCTGAGGAGTTTTTCGTCCCTGGTTTGATCGTCTCAACTTTTAGTGCGTGGAAGAAGTATGATAGATTGAAAGGCCCTCTCGGGACCAGGGTCCACCTGTGACCCTCTCTATATTTAAAGAGGTTGCTCAGGGTTCACGACTCGCGGCTAGTCCGACTGCTTGACAACTGACTCGTCGGCTGGGGTAATCGCGATCAGCCCTGCAAGAGCTCTCCAGCAGAATGGAGTTGCCTTCTCGGACAAGAAATGATTGCAGGTAATACTGCGTTTCTCAGAATCGCAAGAACCCATCTTTCGTTTTTTTCTGACCACGTACCTTCGCTCGCTACATACGACGCTCGTTCATTGTTTGATTTCTTCCGGTACCTAGCGCAAACGCAGGTCGTTGTGTATTCCAGTATCTCTTTACCCCATCTGCCGCTCCGGCCGTCTTGGCCAGAAAGGGCGATATTTTGGGTTGTCAAGAGCCCACGATGACGATGGCTTCTCCACAGCCGCGACACGAGACGATCGATCTCGACGATTTCAACGAACACGCCAGAGCTCCTCGAAATGTTCCACAACAAGGCATTTGGTCGAACCGCAAAAATACAGAAGATCATCGAAGGTGGAGCATCATCGAACTAGCAGGCGACAATCATAGCGACTGGCCGAGATACGCCAAAGTGGAAGAGGCTTCCTCGGCACACCCTTCACCTCTGAAGACCACTATTTCTTTCAACCAGACAAACTTTCTTCATCCTCCAACGCCCGACAGAGAGGACTGTTCCTATAGTCACAAGGGCAATGAATTTAACGACACAATATCTCTTACGTCTAAATCTCAAAAGGAAGGAGACAAAAAGACGAGCCCATTCGTGTGGTGGACATTATGTCTGTGGCTTGTCGGGGTACTGATGCTGACGCTGACGGCTGTGTACTCGACCGGTTCGGCGAAGGCTCTGATGAGACAAAATTTCTTTGTCGCATCGCCGAGTAACTCTATCCTGATCCTGCGCGTAATGACCGAGCTTTGCGCTCTTGTCTTGGCTGCCCTTGTGGTTGTCGTTGTGGAAGACTTGCAGTGGGCATTAGCATCTCGTCCCGGTGGCGTGAGTCTGTTGCACTTTGTAGGACTTGACGCCGGTACAGGAGTATGGGGATTGCTTCGACTATTGGCCACCGCCGAGTGGAGGCAGAAGTACTCCAGTCTGTTCCGGTAAGTTTGATTCTGCTAGTCTATCAGGCTAAGTGAAGACTTGTGATAGCGTTCTGACTCTTTAAAGCCTGCTGGTAATCTGCTCCATTCCTCTGCCAGGTATCATTCTCATGGGTAAGCTATCATCACGTTTGTAACTGTAACTTTGCGTCATATTGACGATCTATCTAGGTGCTATTTCCATCGAACTGGTCACGTTCCCCGAGAAGACATACAATGTGTCTGCTGGAATTGCGCCCTTCAACGCCTCTTACATCTACGACATCCGTCAGTCTACGGCCACCGCGTTATTGGTACAGATGGGCAGCCCGGCTTGGTCTGATAGAGACTCTTTCTCTCTGGACCCCTTGCATCAGGGCGTAGGGAAGTGCACCGGGAATGACGGTGGATGGGCGCCGTGTGACGAATCGCATCTGCTCACCGGCGGTGTGGTCTCAATTGCGCCTCAAGCAGACAACTTGACGAGCTACCCGGACTCTGCCGCATACGTAGTCCCCAACACTCGAGTCGTCCAATTGGAGTATGGGAGAGTACACGATCTTGATGGTCTACGCACAAATGGAACTTGTTTCCTCATTGGCGCCGATAGCGCTGCCTCGTACTGGTGTGCTGCTGTTGGCAAACAGAAAGGCCTCCTTTTCGGTAAGAATAGAATTACTGGCCTCTGCATACTGCTGTGTGCCGTGGAACTTGAAGCTGATAACTTTCTCACAGGGTCGGCATACTGCCCGATTGCACTTCAGCTGACCAGTTCCTGCATCAACAACACCGCTTGGACAAACCCCTTGGAACTGTCGTCATCACTATACGTATACTCACGTTATGCCACCGTCACGTATGATCGCGGAAACTTTTCGATCCTCGACGTTTCGGACATGACACCACCAGAGCAGGATATCATCGGTCTCGATGAATACATGCTCTCGCTATCCGCAGTAGTTCCAGGCTTCAACAAGAGCGGCCCAGCTACCAAGGGCGACAACTCGGCACTAGCCATTTATGCAGTCACAGCGCTACCGATCAACGACAGCGAAGTGGCAAAGAAGCAGTCATTGAGAGCCGTTAGAAAGGCTCTTTCTGTGCCATTCAGCTACTTCCATGCAAACTACTTCTCTCCTGGCCCCTCCATTTGGGAACTCAAGACTCCTCGCGAGGGTCTACCAGAGGACATGTACTCCACCCTGTCCATCTCCATTCTCAGCCATCAGGTTGTTGCAGGAATTGTCAGCAGATGGCTTTTCGTCACAGTAGCCGGCATAATACTGTGCATATCTTTAGCCATCATCATAGCCACGTCGAGGGTCTGTGTAAAGAGGCCAGAGAGGTGTGGCTATCCGACGCTGGATTTCGCCGCTGTGTGTGCTGTAAGAGGAGGAATACCGTCTAATTCTCCCGAATGGAGTAATACACAAGAGCCAGCAAATCATGAGAGAGGTCATGCGAGTGGTCTACACAGGAGTCTGACGCAGCTTGGACAAAAGCCACAACCATTTGGAGTTGCGAAAAATATTAAGAACGAAAGGGTAATATTAACCTAATGAGACCTTAAGAATATGATGATCAATGAACATTACAATACCATAGAAAGCGCAGTTTAAATTCTTTAAAATAGCAATGTTGGAGCTTCTGCAATAATCCAATGTTATCACACATTCATTCTTGTCAAACTCTCTCCATATCACTGAACTCCCAAGTCCCACAACCCCAGTTCAGAAGTTCGCTCAATTATCTCACAACGCCTTGCCATCATGGTCCATATGAGCCGGCAAAGCGAGCTTCTGGAACCTCCTGGGCGTCAATTCCGACTCATAAGCCTTGTCGATTTCCTCCGTCGTCATACCAGTGGTATCTGGAACAAGGAACCATGCCCCTGCTAACAAGAACACAGATGTCCCAGCATAGATGAAACCGGTACGGGCTCCGAGGTTGCCAGAGTCGACGTTATACATGTAAGGTGTGATGAAGTTGAACAACCAAGTTGTGAAAGTTTGTGCGCAAATGCCAATAGATAGTGTTTTGGCGCGAAGAGCGTACGATGGGATCTCGGCAGCGATAGGCCAACCAGCACCTTGGAGGAACGCCGCCTGCAAGGAGATGAGAAGATTCATCAGGACAGCGATTGCCCAGAGGCCGCCCTTATTCGTAACCCAGTAAAGCGCGCCAATGATAACCATGAAAAGAAGGTTGATTGCAAGGCCTAGCAGCACGACGTTTCGTCGACTAATACGCTGCAGGTATGCTCCACTAGCCAAGATTATCAGCACAGCAAAAGCGAAGCCGCCGATACCAATGTCGAAAGAGTGAACGGCCTCAAGACCGGCAGTAATGAGGAAGTAGATGTTCTGAGCCAGAAAAGGGGCGCCGCCGATGTTAGCTGTGGAGTAGAGAAATGCGACGGTCAAAGATCTCTTCCGGTTATGGCCCTGGAGACATGCTGCGTATGTAGCGTTGTTGTTCATTTCGAGTTCTTGTTCCGCGCGGATAGCCTGTATCTCATACTCGAGGCGCTCATCGGGATTATTTGGACCGTAGATCTTGTGCATGACCTTTCGCGCAGCTTCAATCTTCCCCTTCTTGATCAACCAGATAGGGGACCTAAAGATCGGGTTTTAGGATACGACTCATTCTTATCTGATCATTTGACACTTACTCTGGTGCCACAGCCCAGGTGATAACAGCTAGACCACCAACGGCCCACTGGATAGCAATGACCGTCCTGAACGCTTGCTCTCGAATATCGGGAACGAAGATGCGTATCACACCCAACGCCAGACCCTGTGTAAGTAGTACAAATATAACGAAACAGGTCTGCAATGGGGCCCGAAGTTTCAGAGGCGACACCTGATAGAGTGTGTTAGATAACTTTTTGAAAAAGGACAAAGATTCAAGTTTGTCCATACTTCACCGATGTATGTTGTAGCGGTGGCCATCACAGCACCAATACCCAAGCCAGAAATCATCTTGCCACCCATCAGAGTTGCACGTGGCACAGCGATATACTGCACCGCCGCGCCGACCAAAGTCAAGATAGCTGCGGCGCAGGAAGGCCACTTCCGTCCATATCGATCAGAGACAAAGCCGACCAAAATGGCGCCAAGAGCCTGCGTAAGTGAAGACATTGCAGTCCACAACGAGGTCCAGATGGATGGGAGATAGGGTCCTGTCGGTCCAATTTCGCCAAAGTATAGTAGAAACGAGGGCATCGAGATCGAGGCTCCATTGGTCACTGTGTCGTAGGCGAAGACGATGCCAGCGGAGAAAGCCACCGAAGCTTCATGACTGTTAGAGAAGTCTTTGGGTCACATGGGTGAAATAATTTACCTATGAGCAGAGCTCGCCAATGCCTCTTCGCATTGTGAAGGACCGAGAGTTGTCTTTCGGCGTTGACGATATCTTCACCAGTCCTAGTACCAGCGGTTGCAATCCCGGGGCCAATCTTTGACGTTTCGAAGTGGTTGCACTCCGGGTCTTGCATTTTTCCGTCGTCAGCCTTGAGTGAAGTCATGTTTCTGTTTGTTTCGATGACTGAAGCGGCTGCAGGAGATTGTTCACGGCTCTTCAACAGGGATGGGTCTGGCTGCCATTTGATATAAAATGCAAACAGAACCACATTCCTTAGCTAATTGCACATGCAGGGTAACTATGGATTGTCCGGGGAAGCTAATGGCGGGGGGAATCTGGGGTATCATTGATGTGTCTAGCTTGGGTGGACGTCTTGGGTGGACGCTGATGAGGATTGGGGTAGGCCTGGGTGGACGGCGGGTGGACGTATAGTGGACACGCGAGTGGAACATCCGGGGAAACGGGGGGGAGGAAAGATTCGGGAGAAGTGAGTCCGAATCGAAAATTGACTACATACACCTCGGACTTCCCGAGATTATAAGTTTATTAAGTGTCGATTCTGTGTTGTGTACTAAGTTGTGTTGTCTGTGGATTTCTAGCCCATCGATCTAAGCCAGAAGACCCCAGCTTCGATCACATCAGCGAGGTTGAGCAACACAGGGCAGCGTCCTAATGAAGGTCACCAACCCAATTATCCCGGGATTCGCTCCCGATCCAACTTTAGTCGTCCACAATGGCACTTACATTCTCGTCAACTCTTCGTTCCACGTATTCCCTGGGTTGCCCATCTACACTTCGACAAACCTCGTGAATTGGGAGCTGAAGGGCCATGCCTTAAGCCGACCCACGCAGCTGTCTCTTTCCAACGCCTTTACAAAATTCATCCCTCTGCCTCATGGCATCCCACTCATAATCACCGGCGGTCTGTTTGCACCAACGCTTCGTCATTTCAAAAACAAGTTCTATGTTGTGTGTACATATGCCTGGGAGAATGCCGATGGGGCACACGAGTTCCAGAATTTCATACTTAGCTGTCACGAAGACTTGATATTTTCAGAGGACGGCTGGTCAGATGCGGTGCCATTCGAGTTCCCGGGTATTGATCCAGGATTGTTCTTCGATGAGATATCCGGAAAGGCATATCTTCACGGATCTTACCGAACTGGGCCTCCATGGGCACCAGATTGCTCGATTCGTCAGTTCGAAATCGACGTCGAGACCGGTACATCTTTATCAGAGACGAAATTCCTCTGGAAGGGGGCCGCCGGAAAAGACGATGCTGAGGGGCCACATATTTACTCCAAAGATGGCTGGTACTATCTGTTGACCGCCGAATCGTCGACCTTTGAGGGTCACCAGATCAATATGGCGAGGTCCAAAGACATCTGGGGGCCTTATGAGGGCTGTCCGAACAACCCTTTGTTGACTGCATTCGAGAAGGACGAAGCTGTTCGCTGGACTGGCCATGGTGATCTGTTTCAAGATGCTAGGGGAAACTGGTTCTGCGTCCACCTCGGAATTCGACACGACAATGACAAAATTCAACGTCATCCACTAGGCCGCGAAACTTTTCTCACCTCAGTGGACTGGCCCGAGGATGCATGGCCCAGGATTTCTCAGACAAAGCTGAGCCTAGATCTCGACCTAGAGGATGGACCGAACGCAGGACAGCACGATGTGTTCCAGGGTTTCAATCAGCAAGTTGAGGATCTCTACATTCGCACTCCCATTCCTCAAAACTACTCATATTCTGCCAAGGACAATACCTATCATTTGTGCGCCCAGACATCAACCCTAGCTAGCCCATCTGGCACATCCACATTCGTTGGCCGCAGGCAAAGATCTCACTCAGGGTCAGCTTCAACAACGATACACCTGTCTTCCAAAGGGCCGGAAGGACTACCACTGGTCGGTCTAGCAGTATACAAGGATAGTCTGAGGCATGCAGTCATCCAGATCGATCCGCAAGAGCGCAAGGTATCTTCCATCTTGGTGGCAATCAAGGACCAGAAGCCCGAGTCGATCGATTTAGGCTCGGCTGCTTTACCCAAGTCGGCCGAGGCAGTTGAACTCCGCATTGAGACTGAACCCGATAAATATGAGTTCCTCTGGAGAGTCAAGAGTTCCGAGAAAGGAACCGGGTGGCAAAGTCTCGGAAAAGTTGACCCCGTCCTGCTTTCGGGCTACGACATGACGGGCACTTTGTATGGCATCTTCGCAACTTCGGACAGCACACCGGGCTCTACAAGAGATCAATGGGCGCAATTTGAGGGTTTCGTGATTGAATAGTGTCGATGTTCAATTCGTTGCCGCATAGCGATCGAATGCCCTCGGAGGTTCTCCAAATGATTCTTGCGACTGCGTCAACCGCTTTTAGAACGAATCAAAACACCATGTAGTTACATTGCTCATAAATTCATAAGTCTGGGCGTGTCGAAAGTTTCCTTACTTCAATATATCCCGCACTCGTGAGAATCTAGTTTGGGAGATACTGGCTATTTGCTAAAACTTGTCGGGTGAGCCAATTTAAACAGTGCAAACCATAGCCACAGCTTTATTTGCCAAAACTTGCTAGGCACCGGTCGCAATTGTTGCCTGGGCTTTGGCTTTCAGATGCATTTAAACCGTCAACTCTCCCAGCGCTAGTCAGCCACTTGCTCGGTTCTCTCACTCTCTGAACGCTACTCAATACCTGTGTTTCCCGTGTTTTCCGTGTTTCCCTTCCGTCACAGCTTCATCAAGCTCGAGATGCCTCCTCCAACCACCTATCATGAACCATCAACGATCCACACCCACACTGTCGTCTTTCTGCATGGGCGGGGCGACAATGCGAAGAAATTCATGCAGTCACTGAACTACTCCAGAGACTCCCAAAACCGCACGCTAGCAGACGCCTTTCCATCATTCCGCTGGGTCTTCCCCCAAGCAAAGCTAGGAAGGTCAGTGGCTCTCGGCGACAAGGTCTCGCAATGGTTCGACATCTGGAACGTGAACAACTTTGCCGATCACGAAGAGCATCAGGCTGAGGGGCTCCGAGAGAGCGTCGCCGCGATCCGAGAGATCATCACCACGGAGGCGGAGCTGCTAGGGGGCAAGTGGGACCGCATCATTCTGGCTGGGATAAGTCAAGGGGCAGCAACGGGCGTCCATACTCTGCTCAACTTACGACTCCCGCAGGGGCAATCCGGGCTTGGAGCCTTTGTCGGCTTTTCCTCCCGCATGCCGTTTCCTGGGAGAAATCTCACCGATACCCGGGCAGTTCTCGGACTTGGGGATGTCCCAGAAGGATGTGCGCTTCTGGAACATACTCCCATCTTACTGGAGCATTGCATTGACGACCCTCTGGTATTGGTTGCTAATGGCCGTATTTTGAGGGACACTCTGGCAAGATTCGGCGCACAGGTTGAATGGAAGGAGTATCAAGAAGGAGGGCATTGGTTTAATTCACCTTCAGGGATGGATGATGTTGTTCAGTTTTTGAATTCCCATCTCTCTGACTGATTCTGGGTATCCAACGTAGAAACTCGACCCGAATCAACGATTGAAACTCTGTAATACTGTTGGATTCAATTTTTAATCTTCGAATGAGCATTGTTAGCCGTCTTGTCAAACAATATACATAAAAATAGAAGCTTATAAATTTTAGTATATCAGCAGCGCAGAGGCTCCCCATACATGGAGCTCACTTAATAAAACTAGAGACCGTAATAGGACGTCGAGTCTTCCTGTTGTACCTAAATTTGACCCTTTAGCGACGGCGCTTGAAGTGCGTTTTACTCGCAGGGTTCAATATGCCATGCCATCATCGCGTTTCTACTCTTCGAACCGTTTGGGACTTGCGGCAATCGTGCCGTCATATTGTCTTAATCAGGAGGTCCTAACAAAGTTTATACAATGGTGCCGCACATGTCCTCAATGACCGGGCGTGTAAACTTCGGTCGCGAAGGCCGTACATGCCCTCAACTGCCTTGCCCTAGGGCTTTGCTTTTAGAAAAGCTTGATTCCAGGCTGCTGGAGATACTCTTTGTTCTCTTTCATTTCACGTACACGTAACAGGATGTGTGTGAATTCCTGTTCGATTAGGAGAAGCGCTGTTATCTACATGCAGCACGCAGAGCACCGCCTGCCATCAAGAACACCTACTTTACGACATTAATCAAGCAATCTCCCAACAAGAAGACGGCCCAAGATGCGTTTCCTTGCCACCCTTTTGGCCCTTGTCGGACTGGGAATCGCCACTCCTGCCAACCTCGTCGAGAGATCCGCGCCAGCTCAGGTCAAGAATATCGACTTCAAAGAAATGAGATTGCGAATGCACCTGAAGCATCCGACTCACCTAATCCATCAGTCTTTCGACTTGAATGATGTGAAGGGGATGTTGGTGTCCCGCGCTGGCACAGCAGATACAATCTACCTCCGTAACCTGAACACCTTCATCCCGATGACCAGCTTTCGAAACGGACCGACCTCGGACGGGGAGACCACTGCAGAGAATCATTGCTTTATGTGGGACGAGTGGGAGCTTCGCGATGTCAAGTCATACTGGAGTCCGTATACGGCAGCTTCCAAGATGCAGCATGTTGGGCTCGTCGGCGATCCCGAGACTGTGGCGATCCCCTGGGAGGAGAAAGTATCTGTCAAGAGGAGGATCAGTCTTACTCCTGACTGGAGGCCCATTAAACATGTGTTGAGCATTGCACTGGGTGTGAATACGACGGACGAATGGACCCATAGCGGAACCTTTCAATGCACGACTGCTCCCAATAAGAGAATTCGTCTTTGGTTCCAGAAGTATGTCGGATCAGGTAAGCGTTGAAAGGACCCTAGACACCTGATTCGTGTTCAGGAGACTGACAAAGATACAGCATATGCATTCAAGAAAATATGCAGAAGTTGCGGCGGTGAAAGACCGGTATGCGAGCAAACGTGGACGCCACAGGGTCAGATTATCATTCCCTCCGATGGGTAAGTTGGTGTTTATCCGCCGAGATTGTTGAAGTGACTGATTTTGAGCCCACCTAGCTCCGATCCGGACCTCAATTACAACATGCATTGTAGCTCTGACTAGATCGGGCTAGACAAATTGAAGCGGCCAAGGGGATGCGCCCGGTTGGAGAACTGTTGTTAGATCACAAGTCTAGTCCTAGCTTTCATGGGTCATATGACTTCGCTGCATCGTCGACAATGGACGAGGTCTCTGGTCGAAATTATCACCACCACCAAGATCTCGACCTCATCCACAGCATCAGGGTGTCGCCCAAATGTGTAATAGGCTCCATCCATCCAATTCTTGAGTGATCACATATCCATCTTTCAGCATCTGTGTATGGCAAAGATTGATACCAGTAGTTCCATGTCAGTACGACTACCCCCTACTTAGACACTTTTCTTTTGCTCGGGTAAGATAATGGCCCTGTTAATATGTTGTTTAGCATGTTTGGCGCTGACCCCGCAGTCTAGTCACAAGTGTAGCCTCACTACTTATCTTGAGCCAATCAGCCTCCGTATGCCGGCAGATCATGACTTTTAAGTCTTGACTTCCAACGTCATGTTGAACTTCTTCACTTGTGACTCACACTGCCAGATGTTATTGCCGTTTTCATAAGTACGCGCCCTCAGTCACCAGCATCACCATCATTCGGCAGGAGCAGAACCACCAGTATCACTCGGCATCATGGACCACCAGCATCAGGGCTTCGCGCCAGAGGCAATAAACTTGCCCGATCGCACATTGACGGTCAGTCACGCGACAGAGCAGCAAGAAAGCGAAAATGAAATCGAACAAGCGCAATTACCTCCAGCAGACACGGGAAAAGAGGCATGGCTTGTCTTACTCGGATGCAGCTTGATTCAGATTCCCGTATGGGGTGCGTGGGCCCTTTCACTCTCCGTCCTGACGTTGAAGAAAAGAAATCTCACCGAGGCATTCCGTAGGCTACTCTCTCGCCTTTGGCGTTTTCCAGGAATATTACGGCAGTCATCCTGACAAACTTGAGGGCGATACCAGCAATGTTGCAGTGATTGGAACCACCATGACGGTATGTTCATGAGTCCGCTCTTATATCATCACTTGCATGTGCTAACGAGGTCAGGGCATCATGTACCTCATCTCCCCCTTCACATTCACGATCTTGAGCAGATGGCCTCGCCTACGACGCTGGTTCGGCCCGCTTGGCCTTGTCCTCACAGCCATCGGTCTCCTCCTATCCTCTTTCGCGACTACAGTGTGGCAGTTGATCGCAACGCAAGGCGTCATTTGTGCCCTTGGCTGTGGGCTGCTTTTCACGCCAACAACTTTGTACCTGGATGAGTGGTTCGTCAAGCGGAAGGGACTAGCCTACGGTGTCATGTGGGCTGGAAAGTCTGCAGCTGGTGTCGGGCTGCCCTTCGCTATGGAAACTTGTCTGCAGATGTTTGGGCCAGTAGTCACGCTTCGAGCTTGGAGCATTGCGACGGTATCTCTCGAGCATTCTAACCAACGCTCTAAATACGTTATTTACAAGCTTGCAGGTTCTCATCTCGGCACCCCTCCTCTACTTCCTCAAACCGCGCATCCCCCTCTCCCAATCCTCCGCCGTACGCCGAATCAACCTCAACTTCATCCAGCTCCCCTCCTTCTGGATGCTCCAGATCGGCAACATCCTCCAATCTCTCGGCTACTTCCTTCCCTACACCTACCTATCCACCTATGCCGTTCAACAACTCCACGTCTCTACAACCGTAGCAACGACCCTCCTCGTCCTCATCAACGTCACCTCCATCCCCGGCGGCATCGTCATGGGTAGTCTGGGAGATCACCTCCGCGTCACCACCGTGATCCTCATCTCGACTATCGGTTCCGCGCTGGCAGTATTTCTGTTCTGGGGGTTTTCGAGTCAGACGGCGCTGCTAGCTGTCTTCAGCATCACGTACGGCTTCTTCGCTGGAGGATTCAGTTCTACCTGGTCTGGAGTGCTGTCTGAATTGAAGGCTGAGAGCCCGGCGGTGGATACGGGATTCATCTTTGGGTTGTTGGCCGGTGGAAGGGGAATTGGCAACGTGATTAGCGGTCCGCTGAGCGTAGCTCTGCTGACTGGGGATGGATGGATAAAGGATGGCAAGAGCTGGGGTTACAGCGGACAGTATGGCGGCATTATCCTGTTCACGGGTGTTACGGCAATGTTGGGCGGATGGGGTGCACTTGGTAGGGTCAAGTGCATTTACGCCAGGTAAGATCAATGCTTATGTTGGATCTGGCCCCATGGCAGCGTCTCTGCTCCGCGCCTCAATCGATGGGATGTCGCTAGTCGGGGCAAAAGAAGGGAGGCAAAGGCGTGACCGATAGTTGGTAAGTATTCAATATCCAGTTTGCGAAAATTTCCAATGTCCACATATCCAGAAGACAGCACATGTTAGGCGCAAAGATTTGATCATGGGTAGACATTATTACTATAAATCTCTATAGTCCGATTGTGGCATAATCCTCAACCTCTTGAGTGAATCACTCTTCATTATAGCCACCCGTTTAGTGGTTTCTCTTGTAGATAGTACCGTTTCCGGTAAAGTTACCAGTCTGGGTAGTGAAATCATCAGTGTTGCTGAAGTTGTCAATCTTTCCCAGCAGGATCTCGAGCATGCGGTACGCGACACCAGGAGTGTATCCAGGCAGCTCGTGTCCAGCAAGACGAGCAGTGTAGAAGGTCAATCCACGGTCAGCGGTCCACACACCCTGGATACCGGCGCCGGCGAGCGCGCCACCGTTATACTCGGGATGGTAAGGAGCGATAAGAGGCGTGGTGGGATACTCCGGCAGACCTTGCGCGCCGTTCCAGGTCATGTTCTGGATCGCGAAAAGCGTACCGTTGGTGCTGAGAAGCATGTCGAGGTCACCGGAGCCGATGATGGTGTTGTTGGTGAACTCGATGACGCGCTGCAGGGCACCAGTGATGGCAGGGCCGTTGGACTGGTCAGAGCCGCGGCGGGTGCCGTTTCCAAAGACGTTGACGTTGGTGCACTGCTGCCAGTTGGAGTTGAGGGGCGCGTTGAGCGCCTTCTTGACGTCGGTGCGGTTGAAGTAGATCTCGGCGCCGGGTGGGGTGTAGTCGCCGCTGTTCACGATGCCGAGCTGGGAGTACGGGTGCGGGCAGGTCTCGGTGATGTGGTAGATGTTAAAGCAGGGGTTGACCTCGATGATGGCCTCGTAGAAGGTATCGAACATGTCGCAGGCGTAGACATCGCTGTTGTAGGGATCGGGCAGGACGGGGAAGGGCTCCTGGGGCGGCGGGAACTGGAAGTAGGTATCGAGGTATGAGGAGTAGTTGCAAGAGTCCTGGCGGTCGCGGACTTGCTCCATGAAGGTCTCGTTGAGGTAGAAGAGGTTGTTCCAGAACTCGACATAGGGGAGGATAACGACCTGCTGCTGGATGGTCTCGTCACCGATAATAGGGTCGTTGATCGAAATACCCGCCAGGTTGAAGTAGTCGGTGTCGTTGGCGGAGATAAAACCGTCAGCGATGTATGGGACGTAGTATCCGGCGTACGACTCTCCGGTGATGTAGGTCTTCCAGGTCTTGAGGTCAAAGGTGTCGATGAAGCTCTTGTAGAAACCGCGGAACTCGGTCGCAAGCTGGACCTCATCGGTGATGTTGGGTACTCCCTGAGAGTAGCCGACGCCGACGGGCTGCTCGACCCACAGCATGTTGGTTAAGTTGGTCCATGAGTAGGGGTTCTGAACGGGGGCAAGCGTGCCCGCTTCCCAAGTGAATGGGCCGTTCTCGGTGAGGAAACCGGAAAGAGAGGAGCATCCGGGTCCGCCATTGAGCCTGTCGCACGTTAACAAGTTGCTCCAGATTCGAGTATTGTTGTATCCTCTTACCAGATAACCACCTCTTCAGGTGTTTGCGCGGCTGATGAGGGGAAGAACCAGAAGAAAAGCTCGCGAGTCTCGTCCGGGCTATCGGAGATGGGGAGCAATCCAGCGTAGGATTCGCCAATGTCGAAGGGCACTTCGGGGATACCAGTGCCATTGACAGCGAAAGCTTGGAGAGGAGTTAGTTCTGGCGACCAAGTGCTTCATTGCCCGTCAATTACTCACCCTTAGTCTTTTCCGTCAGGAATTGGGAGGCGCGCTTCTGGATCTCTGGGTGAGAGAAGGGCTGGTTGGCCGCGCGCCTCTCGACAATGGACCTCGGAAGCGTAGGCTTGGTCGGCTTCTTGAAAGCAAGCGCAGACGAGGCGCAAAGCAGCCCGCTGAAGAGGTTGAGGAGCTTCATCTTGAGTTTGACTGGGGAGAAACTACAAGCGGGTGTAGGACTCTACTCCGACCAGAGCTGGCCCGGTCGCAGTATTTGAACATTTTGGTATATGACGGCATCACTTCACAAAGGCCCTGACGCTTACCATAGGCAGAAGGAGGAAGACCAAAGTGCCCAAAAGTCCCCTGATAGAATGGGTCACTTCTCGATGATTGAACGGCAGTGGGTCCACGCAGATGTTGATCGTTGGTTCATGGTACGTTGGTCGGTTGTTCGGCATGCGAGAAAGCGTTGCTAGCCGGTCTCCTCCAAAGGTACCTTGGACTCATCTAGGCCCATTGGAAAGCTCATGTCGAGAAAAGTCGTGTTTAGATTACCTGAACCTTAAGGCCCTTTCGTAATGAGCTTGTACTGATAAGCCTGATTGGCCTTCGCCGAGTCTCGGTGTCATGTAAACTTCATGTTTCCTTCTTAGTGACCAACGGCGCGGAGGAACCTGGCACTTCTGGGTATTAATCGCGTGTTCGGCTCTTAAAGGCCGCATAAAAGTTGTAAGATGACGCAGCCGGGCACGAACTGTCACCTTCCTCTTAAGGTTAAGGCCGGTCCCGCAGATCGACAATGAAGCTCCAACGGCCCTCCCGGCGCGCTCGTGATTCGATCACTGTGTCTTAGTGTTGTGAGAGCAGACAGGGCCCCAGATAGATCAAGCTTCGGGCGCACGATGCAGCCGAAGCTTGGTCTAGCTTGGCGAAGCTTGTCAGGCTTAGCGACTCTCGGGGCGGCGTTGGGCGGGTTGTTTGCCTGGAGCCTGGAGGATCGATACAAACGCGGCAGAGCGGGAGAGAAACAAAAAGTCCGACCTCCCGGCATATCGACAGGGATCAAAGGTTCGCGAGGATTGGGACCTGCCTGGGAGGTACTACGGTGATATCGTATTGCAAAGTGCGGGATGTCGCGTAATCACGACCTTGAGTGATGTGATGCAAGGTAAGAAATGCTCGATAGCTGCTTGATTGCGAGGCAAGTAATTCGCTCATGTGAGGTGTACGGCTTAACTACTGCCCGTTATGTATGGCGTGGTTTGCTCAAAAGTCCGAGTTCATCTCATTCTCAGAAAGTTGAGTCCACCTCAATCAGCCTCCCGTAGAATTGTGTTTGGAACCCCGCGTTATCGCCCACCTCTCGCTTAGTAATTAGTTTTACTCCAAGGACGCAGTCCAAAGGCACTCCTTCAGCACGTGGAGGTCAAGCATCGTTGCTATTTACGCCCCGCATTCCCCTCCAACAAAATCGTCGTTGACGGCGGGGGGGACTTGGCGCAAGAACTCCATGGATCCCTCTATCACGGGCATCACGTGGTGCTAAGCGTTGACTTAAGACAGCAGGACAATGATGAAGACCAATCAAAGCTTACAAGCCCAAGAGAAAGATGACATCAGGCGCGTTGGCACCGCAGTCCGGTCCAGTGATTAGCCTGTTGGGCGCGTCCTGGGCACTGCCTACGCGTCGCACGGCCACACCGAGCAAAATGCCCCCTCAATCGCATGCCGCATTTGCGGCGTGGTAGAAATGTAAAAACGGTTTCAGCCCTCTGTGCAGAAAAGAGGCGTAAATCGACCAATACGAAGACCGGAATGTCGTGGCTGAAGATGCTGACGCGGCAGCCACACTGTTGGTCGGCCTCACAAGGCCCAACATCCATCCGTCTGACATCGCCAGAGCTCAAGGTAGAAAACCATCATACTTGAACCTGACGTAAGGTAACATCAAGATACCCACAAGTCGATCGTGAATCCATCATCACAGAGAGCCGCAAAGACGCAACTGCAATGGGACCCTCAAAAACATCACCCTCCGAGGCGGCGCCAGCCTACGACGAGCACGGCTTCCATGACGAGCACCCCGTAAACGCATTCCCCCCATCAGGATCAGCCTCAGCCTACGCGACGATCCCGCAGAACGACGAGCGCGACATCGAACTTGCACACGATCACTCGGCGCCAGATCTATCGGCCCCTTTCAACCCCTTTAAGCCGCATCAACACTGCGAGACGTGCGACAAGTTTACGTCGGCGCGCGAGGTCAGGGCCAACGAGAGGCACTGTTGCCTCTGGGTTGCCGTTGTGTTCATCACAATCAGCGTCTCGATGGCGGTGATGGGAATCGTTGCTGTTGAGGCAAAGTTCAGACATCACAAGGACTAGAAATTGGTCTTCATTCAAAGAACTTGAGGCTCAAAATTCGTTCAACGAGTGCCGGGCCTGCTGATCGGTGGCATAGATGGTTTCTTGGCTAAGCCCTCAAGTCAAGATTGAAAGTCTGTGACTGCCACCCTCAGATATACTTCCAATTGACTGCTCTCGCTTTAAGTTGCCCAAGTCTTTCACGGCAGACTTCATTTACATTGGCGTGTGGTCGTGGGCTTGTCGTGATCTGTACGTGTATTCTTCAACTAGGATAGACTGAAATACACTTTCTTCCACGCACAACCTTTCTCATTTTCGTGGCGTTTCCATTTCCAACGACGTCCCAATGAATAATACATGATATCATGCCTATTGTGGCAAGCAGTGTCAATTGGCGCACACTGCTCGTTTGCGCCATATCACGACCAAGGTTTAGAAATTTGAAATCGTGTTCCAAACCATCACGCATTCTCGAAAGGGGGCCCTTTATTTCTCTGTTCAGGACGCGAATCTCGACCTCTGTCCTCAGAATGTGCCGTTCTTGAGACTAGGAGAATCCGTCACTCTGCAAGTCAGAGATCGGCCCCAGGGCATTTGTGGTAAGGCGGAGCATGTCAATCAGGGATTCCAGCCTCTCCATGATTTCTTTACCAAGCAGGTGAAGCAATGAGGCAGATCGCCGCTTTCGTCGTAAGGCACCCAAGTTTCTTCGAAGTCCTCGCTTAAATCACGTATCGCATTCCTGAAAACATGATAAGTTGATCGAGTGGACGAAGTTCTAGCGTGAAGAAGGTAGGAGGTCGAAAGGGCTCCCGTCCGCTGCAGAAGCGCTATCGAGGCCCCCAGAAGTCCGATAATTTCGGCCATTTCGCATCAGACTCTCTGTGAACCAATATGGATATTCTCGCAAGTGTAAATTCGTTTCTCACAGCGGTCTCTCAATAATTTTATGTCTTGTCCATCCTATATGCCTCCGGTATTCTTGCAGGTATGCTTTTCCTAGTTTATATCTAGGGTTTCGGAATGGAGCTCGTTCAACTGCCAGTGTATGAGTATCGATGTCAGCAACAAATAGTCCCAGGTTCCAATCACGCAATCGAAGCAACACAGTCCTGAACTGAACTTCGTTGTGAGCCCACAATGCATTTGCCACATATACAATGATCCTGTCGCCATCTGGCTTGTACTTGACATTGCCAGGCCTAAGATCAGTATGACACAGAGTGGGTTTGATGGAGCGACCTCCCGTCTCCAAAGGGCGCAAGTATCGAGGAAGCACTTGATCCACAAAGAAGTCCAGCGTGGCTTCATCTTCGGTGGTATGAACACCACGAATATCCTTCTCTCTAGCCAACAAAAACTTCATGTGATTCGTCCACCACACCTCCCAAGAAGACTCCCGATTGTTGGGCTGTGTCAAGTTGCCAAAGTGCGTGTTGACCGGAAAGCAAACTTTCTGGTCGGGGGTTTCCCTGCGCTGCGGAGATGGAGCGCGATTGGGACCGACATATACGTCTCTGGCGGTGGGATGCCGCGGTCAAGCATACCCTCGAAGTCTAGTAGAATGAAATTTGCGCCTGACTGTGATTCGTAGCCTCCAGCGTAAACCGGTCGAGGGATAAACTCGGGAATGAACCTGTAAACGCTGTTTTCCGAGAATAAATGGGCTAGGATTCGTTCAAAGCTTCCCCCTCCCCTTGCCCTCTATCGAGCCAGTCAGTTGGAACTCAACAATATGATGGGATGGCCATGGATGGAAACCCTTTCAAAGAATAGCTGGAGGCTGCCATCTTGAAGCCGGACGTCGTAACGGGTGGTGTCGCACCAGTCGCTCAGCTTTAGATCAACTGCTTCTACTACCTGGTCATCCTTGGGAAATGCTGCGGGAGATTTCTCAATGATTCACTCTTCACGACGGACAGATACGTTGGAATACCGGAAGCTATAAGAGGCATTTCGTGATAGGCGATCAGCAAAGAACGTTGTTCAGGTGCTGGGCACAATAGTTCTTGCCTGATGTGTCAGGGGTTGATGTTGACGTTTATTTGCCGGAATGGAATAAAGGCCCAGGTTTACCGCATCCCTGTCGTTCAGTCTTTGTTAGCACCTCATCAAATGTCGTGTTTAGCTGCATGACTGATTTCTTTGTTTTGAGGTGATCCTAGGTGTTACCGGTAAACGATTCGTTAAGGATCCCTATGCAGGGGCGAGTACATTAACGGTAATCGAAAGGGAAGGTCATAGTGAATCTTGCTTGACGCATATAACATTGGTGCAGCCAGAGGTTCACTCCGTGCAGAAGAACCTTTACCTGACTTCTGTGTTCATTCTTTAAGGAATTACTTACCAATTTCCATGGAGTCGAGAATCATGCGGTCACAGCCGAGGCGTCAAAGTCTCTCCAGCAAACATACGCTCAACATTCACTAGGCAATGTGAGGGCGTCATCCTGCTGTAGATGCATTTTTTTGTTTTCTGGTAAAGGCCATTTATCTCCATGTCGCGTCAGCGTGAGACAGACCAATCCATCTAAGCTACTAATGAGGAGCTTTAAGAGCAATGAGGCAAAAGACTGATTCGAAGTGATGTCATGTCCACCGGTTCGTAAGACCAGCGAACCAACCCCTTCTCCAACTAACCCTCCAACTGATGAGCCACGTAGATCTCGCGAACATTAGTCATGTTCACACCCATAAGCTTCCAAGCCATGACACCCTTCTCAATATCACGATCCTCGTGATCGAGCAGGACATAGCTCATGACAGGATCCGTGAAATTCGCCTCCTGACGAAAGTAGTAATCCTGCTTATTCTCGATGAAGGTCTGCTCGTTGCTGGCGTAACGCTCGTGCTTGCGAAAGGTATCGACGAGCGTCTGGTCGAAGAAGAGCTGGCCCGCGTGTGTGGCGACGTTGTCCTGGATGGTGCCGTTGGCGAGGCGCTCGGTGCCCGGGACGTGGGTCATGATGTGGATATGCGGAGTGCGGCCGGAGTAGTGGCCCGGCAGGTTGGTGCCGAACCAGACGGCGCCGTTGGCGTTTGTCTTGCGGAGGCCGCGGTGGAAAGTCTTGTCTGCGTTGGAGGGGTCGGCTTCGCCTGCGCCATTGGCCTTGGAGACGACGCCTGAGTAGATACCGGTGGAGTTGGTGTCTGTTGCGGTGGAGGTTAGTTGGCTGTTAAGAATTTTGGGGATAGGAGGGGGTATGGACTTACGCCAGACTTCAACCCATATGTCGGGGACGGGCTGGCAGGTCTCGGTGTCGATGATCTGGAGGTCGAGGTACATGGGAATGCCAGACTGGCCATCGGTCAGGTCGAAGCGGTCAAGCTCTCCCTCGACGTCTGTCGATGATGTCAGCAAACTCTGGTGGAAGGAACGAATCGGGTAAGTATGGGGGACATACAGAAAGGTCCCTCAGTAGTCTCGATGCTGAGAACGCAGCCATCGTCACGAGTAGCGAAGATGTCGGCATCAGGAGTGTGCCAGTTGACGCTGTCATCAGTGATCTCATGGTCAGTTCTGAGAACAGAGTCGATATCACGCATGGTGATGCCCATGCGACGAAGGGAGTTGGCAAGCTGAGCTCGGCGATAGGCAGCCTCGTCAATGTAGCCGCGCTTCTCGAGCTGGATGTTGCAGTGTGCAAGGTTCATGGCGTTGTCGAGAGAGTACTCCTGGCGAGCGGCGATCTCGAAGGCTTGGTTGATAGTTCCATGAGCAGAGCAGGGGCGGATGAGGGTGAGCATGCCGTAGCAGACCAGGAAGCCGAAGAAGTAGGCCATGATGACGTTGATGGTAAGCTCGAAATAGCTGACGATGTGTCTGTTGAACATCATTTCACGATGATGGGTCTCCTCGGTGATGATGCGATAGTTGGAAGCAGGGTAAGGTGCAACTTGGCCCTCTTCGTCCTCATAGAAGACACGCACACTGCGAGGAAGAGAATTCTCCCCAGCTAGATATTTCATTTCAGAATATTTCTTTGATGTCTGTTCAGTTCAGGAAGACAGGGTAGCGCGCTCGAAATATTCGCCATCCCAATAAAAGACACGAGCTTGCTGTTCAAATTGAACAGCAATAATTTCGTCAGAAAATAAAGACATACCAGCAACGATGCGAATACTCTGCACGTTCATTGTGAGCAACTTCTGATGATCGGCAATGAGCTTGGGTGTTGTGTCGGTACAAAGGTTCTGCTGCGGAAGCAAAGATCGTGGAGAGTGCTTTGCCAAAGAAGCAAGTGAGAGTGTGGGCGAAGAAAAGATTTCTTTTCTTGCAAGAGAAATTCGAGAAGATAAGTGGGGGACAGTGAGGTAGGTAGGGCTTGAAGATGGAATACTCGTCGTATTCACCTTTGGCGAGGAGTGCCTAAGGTGGTTGAGCAGGTGAGCAGTGAATATTCACGGGATGCTTCAAAGGTGAAGTGTGGAAATGCCTGTCACGTGAGAGGGTCTTGAAGGAAAGGATGGTGTATCATGACTCCAGCAGCTTGATTATCCCCTTCTGCATAAGGCAGTGTCTTCCAATTATCTAGGCTAAGTGATCTGTTAAAAGGCATGAGCTCAGCAGACAGCTGGTTCCCTCCTCCTCAGATCATCCTGCATAAGTTCTATCAGTCTTGCCATGGCATCTGTATAGCATCGTTATTTCCAACTCCTCAAACGCCTCATCTTGTATCAAGTCAACCCATAACGTCCTCACTTCTCACTCCAGCCCAGTCTCCTTCCACCACTTGAACCCATAACACACAAGCCTCGCATCAACCTCCCTCTCAAACCTCTCTCTCCACCCCTCAGGCATCTCTCCGTAAAACCTCACAATCTCCAACCCCTTCAACGCCGCCAACACCCCAAAGAACTCATCGTGCTTCTTCTCCGTCAACTTGGCCTCCCACACTTTCGGGTTCGGCGGCCCCGGTCTCGGCTCCCAATCAATAACAAGCTCCGCCAAGCCCTCCGCCCGCCGCGCCACCTCGGCGAAGATGGCCAGCCACCGGTTCCAATTGGGATACTCCATAGCGATGAGAACGTACAGCCGGCGCAGGCGCTCGAAGCGAAGGGTGCCGTGGACGGCGAAGCCGATGCGCCGGTCGCCGTAGCCATGGGAGTGCACGCGCATGATGGCGTCGGCGTGGACAGGTTGGTGGAGCTCGCGGTAGACGCGCTTACAGGTCAACATGAGCGGCGGTAGAGGTTTCTTGTATTCCCCTTGCTCAAAGTAGACGTGCAACGGCCGGACTGTGTCGCCGAAATCGTCGTGATCGAATGAGAGGTAGTACTCGTAGATCTTTTCACGGATTTCCCACGGGAGGCTGAATAGGCCCGAGCCATTCTGTTCTAAGGATGCGCTCATGATGATTCTGCGTCTTTAGTCGTATGCATGTGATGGTGCTATCGTCATGTTAGATCGGGTAAATCGGAAGGGTCGGGAGACGGCGGCTGGGTGTAAGGGTGGTGGGCCCACGTACATTCTTTGTTGGCTTCCATGCACCACAAACTGTAATACCTGATCACTTAGACCACAATTGACTTTTCTTCCGACTGTTTGGAATAACTGAATTGGAAATTCGTTTCTTCAAAAGCAAACGTCTGCCTGTTTACACGCCGCTGCTGCCTGCTCGTTGGTGCATGTTTGTTTCTGCGGGAACGTCTCACGACGTCGGCCCAGTGGGGTTTGGCTTAATTTTGCCCCGCTTCCCGGCTGTTTAGACCGAAAAACACGCGCTTCTTCGGGTTTAAGGTGCTGACAAGCGGGGTTCCCCCCCTTCGGCTCCGTCGGCCGTCGTCCGGTGCGGGTCCCCCGGTTATTGCCCCGTTCGTCCACCGAGAGACGGATAAGATGTACCTACCTGCCTTGGGAGCGCACTCATTTCTTTGCATGATGTGGAAGATTACATGAACTCGTAATATCAAAGCTCGCATGTAGATATGGTGTTCAAAGCGGTGACCTTTGATTTTCTACACAATATTCCCAATAATCCCTTCCGGCGCAATCTCCCCTCTCCCGGGCGGCCCCAGCTTCATCTCCTCCACAGCCTTGACCCACTCCTCCATGGTATTCACATTCGTCAACCACCATTCGCAACCCGCCGGCGCATCAACCATCAACCCGTCAAGCTCCCTCGCCGTCTCCTCGGGCCGCGGATGGCCCCGCGCAACACGCTCCGCCAGACGCGACAGCGCAGGCGGCGCCCAAATCGCCAGCAGCGGCTCGCATACCCCCTCCGCGGTGCGGAAGCACGTCACGGGCACGGCGTCGCGCTTGACGAAGAGGTGGAAGAAGGCCTCTGCCGGGATCAGCGGGTAATCGCACGCCAATACCACCCAGTACGCCCACGCGTCGTAGCGGTATGCTGCGAGGAGTCCCGCGGCGGGGCCACTACTGCCGGCAGCAGGAATCTTTGCGTCCGGGTTTGCGGGGTGGTGATGGTCGCGTAGAATCTGGATTCTCGGCAGTGGTGTCTTGCAGTCCTCCACTTCGGCAGACTGGTTGGCAGCCCGCGACAATAGATCGTCAAGGAACTCGTCTGTCTCGGACTCCTGCGCCAGCGAGATGAAGATCGTCTGCGGCTCCGGGAAGATGGTGCGTAGCAGTTGCAGCTGCCGCCGGTACAAGGGTGTTCCGTCGGGCATCCGGAGAAGGTGTTTGGGTGTGCCCATTCGGGTCGATTTGCCGCCCGCTAGCAGGAGGGGTCTCATTGCTGGTAGTCCCATGGTTCTTATTGTGATGATGACTGTTCTCTCTTGTCTCGCTTGATCTACTATCTGAAAGGGTGGTTGACGACAGGGCAGTCAGTACAGAACCTACTGCTCAAGGCGATATGATGCGAATCAAACGTAGGTAGACCTCGATGAGAACGGGTGCACGGCATTGAGCTCGAGGTGATACCTTGAGTGAGTAAGCCGCGCGTCTGAACGCTTCCCACATCGTGTACGACACGATATTGTTCACGAGCGTCATGATTACGGCATGGCGCAGCTGGGGGCTAGTGTAACAATCGACAAAGAACCGATCTACCCGTTGATCTATCCGCCCTCTATCCGCTCAGGCGTTTCCCATCTGGGCGTCGTGCATATCATCTACCTAGCCCAACCCAACCTCTCCACATCCTATGTTCCTGTGTCCCCCATGTTGCCATTGTGCCATGGGGGAAAAGAGAGAGGTCTTTACTTTGTCCCCCCTTGTCTCACTTCCCTCGAAATCCTCCCGATGTGGAACATAATCATCACCAATAAGAACAATCATCACAGCATCAACCCCGATTTCCCATTGTACCATTCAATGAGCGTCTCCAGGATGCCATTGGTCTCCAAACCAGCCAACATCCCACCACAACCGCAACCGCAACCACACCCACAACCACCTATCCACGAACCATCACGACCAATTCGAACCACAATCCGCGACTTCTCCTCACAATGGTTCCTCATCCCCCAAGGAACAGCAATAACAGCCACAGTCCTCCACCAACTAGACTACCGCTTCCCAGGCCTCACAACAATAGCCTACACCCTCTGGGCAACCTCCATCCTCCTCCTCCTACTCATGCTAACCCTCTACGCCGCCCGCCTAACCCTCCACCCAAACCACACCATCCACGCCCTGAGACACGACGACGCAGAACTCGCAGGCCTCTCCAGCATCTCCATAACCTTCACCTCCGTAACCCAAACAGCCTCCCTCGCCCTCGCCCCCGGCGGCACCCAGGGCTCGCCATGGACCGCAACAGTCCACGTCCTATGGTGGATCTCCCTCGCCCTCGCAACAACAACAATCCTCATCCTCCCCTTCATCTTCATCAAAGTCCACCCGCCGGGCGTATCTCACCTTTCACCCTCGACACAACTAGCAGTCACCGCAGCCCTCACAGCCGCAGCAGCAGGCGGAACCCTCTGCGCCTCCCCCGCAAACCTCCCCGGCGCCCAACAACTCCCCATCATCGTCGTATCCTACCTCCTCATCGGCATGGGCCTGCCCCTGGCCTTCGCCCTAGACGTGTTATTCTGGGCGCGCCTGCTGGGCAACGATGAGCCGCCCAAGGAGAAGGCCTTTCAGGATATGATCCTCTGCGGGCCCTGGGGCCAGGCGAGCTACGCGCTGCAGATACTCGGACAGGCCGTCGTCGGCGGTAGCTTCGCGTCGTATACCGGTACTGACGCCCTTCTCTCCGCAGACGCCGCTGCCGCTCCGGTAGGCTATGCCAGCATCTTCGCGGGCCTCGTGGCCTGGGGCCTGGGGACGTACTGGTGGCTCTTTGCTCTCTTAGGCGTCTTTCGCGCCTTCTTCGAGGGCGGCGGCTGGAAACCAAACAGAATACCGTATTCTCTTGCTGGATGGGCCATGGTTTTCCCTTGGGTGAGTTCTGCACCCATCCGTTTTCCTTGAATCGGCTCAGAAGGGGATTTTCTAATGTTATAGGGCGTCTACACCAATGCGGCACTCCAGCTGGGTAAGATTTTCGGGTCGCGGGCTTTCAAGGTGTGGTCTACTTGCTTGGCCGTCTTGCTGGTCCTGGTCTGGCTCTGGAATTTCGGGTTGACGGTGAAGATGCTGTTGGATAAGTTTAAGGCTAGGAGATAGGTGATTTTCTTCTACACTAGCAAGTTATATCCAAGCTTTCAGACGTAATTCGGAGATCAGGAATAGAAACGAGCTGCACTGATTTTTTATGAGGAACCCTACACTCAAAACTAATAATTGTATATTGCAGGATTCGACCTGGTCATAGTCTGGTCCCAATGGTCAATCGCCCATACTTGCCTTACTTTGAAAGCCAAATTCTAAGCTTCGCTCCCCGCCTTTGCTATCACGATCAAGGCCATTCCCGAGTAGCCTCCCAGACGTAGTTTCGGAATTCTTATCAGAAATTGGTTAAGTTGACCATGACACAAGACGTTTTCTCCATTGTTTATTTATCGGTTTCGCAATGAGACGAAAGGACCCCTTCCTATAAACGAAATCCATACCCCAAGGCATCACTATAGACTTATACTCGCTCCCAGGCTAAACAAAAATTAGACTGCAGGACCAGGCAACCAACGGCAACCCCAAATCCGTGACTACACTATATCCTATATGGACGTTGTAAGTCTATCAGAAGACAACCGCCAGTCAACGGTACATGTAGCCTCACCGACACTGAACGTCTATGAGATACGCGAGAATGGGTAACCCCAGTACTCGCGGAAGTAATTGGGACCTGCGCGTATGACCGCTACATCTTTCCATCTACATCACGTCACTTGCGACCAGCATTGAATGAGACCACGTAAACGCAACAAGGCCTGTTCTCTGGAAAAGAAACCTTTTTGTTCATCTTGTGTATGACTGGAGCAAAAGTAGACCTCCGCAACTCTTTTAGCGTGCAAATGCAAGAGCCAAACGAACAGAATGCCGCAAATATAGAGTAGTACCAAGTCTTCCCGCCCTAAAGACTCCGAATTACCCCCTCGCCCCACGTGCCAAGCCCAAACTCCGTCAAGGTAGCAAGAATCACAGACCCAGAACTTTCCCAAATCAAATTAGGGGTATGATGCTGTCCATCTATGGCGCGGAAACCTCGAATTAACGCCTCTCAAGTGAACCCCTTATTGCTGTGCTTGCATGTTCGTTGTGTGGTGTTGTCGTCAAATTTCAAAATAGGAAATACGCTGTGCGGGTGTGTACCAAGGTGTGTGGGTTCGACGGACCCTTCAGGGTAATGCAGCAACGCTGCCCGCCAGAAGTGCGTAGTTGGCGAGCTTGAGGGACAAGACTCGCGATCGAGGGTAGTCGGGGCTGATGATCATGCGGCCGTCCTTATTGAATCCAACTTCGCCGAATGACTCGCTCAACTGCTCAAACTTGGCGTTTGGCCGGACTCGATTCAGCTCTGCCAGGATGTTGTCACTCCAGACACCGGAACACCAGCCGTCTCTCAGGACAAAGTAGGGATTCAAGGGAGGGACGGGAGAGTCTGGCACTGGTTAGCAAGGACGGGATCTAAAAAGAAAGAAAGAAAAAAAAATGCGAGACATGACTTACCCAAGTCCACGAAGCGAATCCGCAGGTAGTCCAGAGTCTTGAGAGTCGACATGGAGTGAATGCCTGCCAACACAAGCATCTCGAATGAATGGATAAAGTTCATGTCCTGAATTCCGCTTCCAGAATCGTGGAACTGAGGTACAGGGCGACAGCAATTCTTGACCGTCAGGTCAATCGTCTTGAGCCGTGTCGTTCTTGAATCCGATCTCATCGCCGCCATGTTGAAGAAATTCTTGCAAACACGGCCAGTGTAGGCCAAATGCTCTAACGCCGGAGTTGCCTCGGCCAGCTTCGTGCAGAAGTGAACCTGGTTAGAAACCTTCATGTAAAACGGAGGGCACGTGAGCTCTCGCCGGTAGTCGCTTTCCAAGCATAAGTTGAGGTAAGTGAGATTTGTGGGAAGTTTAGGTAGAATGCTGGCCATGCTCAGGTAACTCTTGGACTTGGGCTTGCTGTAGGAGCCGTGCCACTCGTTGAGGTTTGGAAGAGATGCGAGGAAGGCTGAGAAATCCGAGTCTTCGCGCATCAAGTTCCACTGGCCTTTAGTGACCAAGGTCCGAACCGAATGAAGGGTCGGCAGATGCCAGCCAGCGGGCCGCTTATGCCAACTGTGCTGTACCTTTGGTGCCTTCTTTCTTTCTCCTCCCTCGATAGTCAGGACGCAAACGTCAGGAAGCGCCATCGAGACAAAGGTGAAAGCCTCTTCGAGGCTGCAGTTGTTGGCGGGGAGGGTATAGGTCGCGTTTGTCAATCCATCCATTGTTACCGTGGGAAGAGCAAGAGTAGTGCTCAACGCCAACGGACCGTACTTGGGCTGGAAGACTGGGAACCAAATCTCAATGTGCTTGACGTAGTGCCGGAGGTGGTTGTGTTCGCTAAAGTACATCATGGCCAGCTCTAGCGATTCGATGGTGGCCTTAATCTTGATATGACGGTACAGGCGCTCCTGAATGAGGATTCTCCAGACGGGACTGACGAGAGCAAGTTCCGACAACTCTCTACGTCGGGAATGGCGAAGTGCGGTTCCCCAACTCTTGGTCACACTCTGCATGCCTACCGAGCTCTTGGAGTTTGTGGATACTCGGTATCCGAAAAGGTGATCGAGAATGCATTCGTGAATCTCGGCCGGTAAGTCATTCAAATTCAGGGAGGGCGTGACCTCGGGGGTCTCGTGAGTATAGGAAGGAGTGGTGATGCCTGGGCCTCCGTAGGCATCGACGTCGTCGGCCATCGGAGTGCAGCAATCCGAGTTCCGTTGATCGGGGTGTAAAAAGGGCGTGCTGCTTGGACGAGTCGGGGGCACGAAGTCATTGCTCTTTGCCTGCTCGAGGGGTGGGCTTGATGGGCCGGGTGATACTGGGTTGGATGAGGTATTGAGTATGGTTGATAGGATGGAGGCGGAGGCTGTCATAATCGAGGTCAACTCTTCAGTGGCGTTGGCGTTGGCATGATAGTCGTCTCGCGACTGTCGCCTATCGGTACCGGAGGGGTCTCGATCTCGGGGGACGTTCGTGACGTTGGCGTCGTCGTCGGTTGAAGGAAAGGACTGTTCGACGCAAACGGACATGGTCGTCGGGTCGGAGTGGACGGTTCTTTGGGTCGAAAAACTAAGATTTTCGGAGAGGGGAGGATTGAAGCCGTTCCTAGATCATGGCCAGACGGTCTCTCCAAAGGGGGGGGACGGGAAGCGGCGGCGACGGCGGCGATAGCGGGATTGCTGATCAAGCGGAAGGGAAAAAAGGCGAAGGGAGATTGGCTCTGGGCTGCTTTGACGATGGTGGGGGAAATGAAGTGCCAATAATTCAGAGACCCTGGATAACGCAGACCGGGGGGGTCACAACAATGCTGAGCAGCTGTTTTGGTCGGCTGGCGGCCGTATTCGTCAGGTTGGTCCCAGTGGAAAGTAGCGCTGCGCTGGGGTCTCTTCGCTTCGCCCAAGCCACTTTACGCGGTCGGTCGCGTGCGCAGCGGCAGGGAAACGGCCCAATGAGTGGAAGCGCCGATAAGAAGGACGGCGGCGGGAGGAGAGGAGTCGATGAGAGGAGAGGAGAGGAGGGGGTGGAGGCCAAGGCGGAGGGAGAAAATCGTATGGCTACCTAGTAATAACAAGGTGGTGAGGTGTTGAGAGGGCGAAAGATACCGACGGAGTGATTGGTTGCAGACACACAGCAGGAGGTAGGTCGGGGTCCGTCGAAAGAATGGAAGTATCGACTATTGACGACTGAGAATGCGACCAGAGTAGAGTCTGAGAGATGATTTGGAGAAGAGAGGGGAGCCCAGCAGCGACACGGCGATGGAAGGAAAGGGAAGAAGCGTCGTCCGTAGGTGTCCGTAGAGGTTGGGACACGGCAGAAGTCGTCGTAAGGGTTCGCCTTACAAGACGGGACAAAGAGAACAACAAAAACTAAGAGAAGACAGAGGCAGAAGCAAAGCCAGAGCCAGAAAGAAACCGGATGTGGATGTGGATGTGGAAAAAGGGTTGTTGGTGTGTTCAATGCTGTGTGTCTGGAAATGAAACGAGTACCGGACAATTGGAAAATGGTCGAGCGAGGAAAGTGCTGCGCTGCGCTGCGTCCCGGTCTGCGCCTGCGCCTGTGTTCTGCGTTAGGTGAGGCAGCGGTGGTGCGGGAGCGGTGCGGCTGGCGGGTACAGGTGTGGCACGGTAAGCCTAAAAGGTACCTTAGGTCTGCAAGGTGAGGACGGTCAGGTAAAAGGAAAATAAAAAGGGGAGGCGACCCCGATTGCGGCTGATTGTTATGCCACCAAGGTAATCCGTAAGGTAAAGGCAATTACTGCAGTTTCGATCTGCTGCTGCTGCTGCTGCTGCTGCTGCGTTGGTGAGGCAGGCGAACTGGCGACGGGGGTGGCGTGGTTTGCTTTCGTGTTTCCGCAGTGGACATTGGACAAGCAGGCAGTGAATTGAGGTGTGGCACAAGATTGGACGGTCAGAATGTGGTAACGACTCCGTGATGAGGTCGATGGGCTGCCGGGGATATCTGACACAATCTTTTCGGGAGCACAAGGTAGAGGAGAGGAATGCAATGGCCAAATGGCAAAAAGGTCAAGAGGGCGAGGAAATTAATTACAGTCAATAATGAAGTGGTCTGCTTCTGATGGATGGATACTCATTCCGCAAGTTATATTTATTGGCCGAAAAGAGGGGAAAGTAACATCAACAAGACAACTTTTTCCAAGGAAGCATGACAGGACAATAAAAGATGACGGCACTCAATGGACACACGGAACGGCAGTCGGTAGCTTATTTCTTCCTTTACTGTCAGTCTCTATCTACTCCATATAGATCCGCACCTGACCTTACAACCCGGGGCCAGAGTTTCTATCAAATGCATGGATACCTATCAATCCAACTCAAGGTACCTTATTTCAGTCGACCTTTTGAATGCCAATTAAACATCTGCTGCAAGGCGGCTGGATGCAATGGAAACACAAGGTTGGATCAAGGAATGAGGGAAAACTCTTTCCTCCTTCGTTGGATTTCTCTTTGATTCTTCTTCATTCGCGAGCACCCGGGCGACTGTTGCCGCAGTAAACGACCT